GTTGAACACATACCTCAGAGATCCCACAATTTGCTTCAACAAAGTTGCATCGACTTTGTCTTTCTCTCCATTCTTCTCTAAATTCACATTTGGTTCGACAAGTGAGGATGCAGGATTCAAATCATCCATTATGAATCTCTTGAGTATCTCTTTGACACACTTTCTTTGATGTAGCACCATACCTTGCTTTGACATTTGAAATTCCATGCCTATAAAATAAGACAATTTTCCTAGATCCTACATTTCAAATTCCTTTGTCATCAGCTCTTTGAACTTCGACAAGTTCTCCAAACTATTTCCAATTACTAGCAAGTCATCAACATACAAGCAGATGATTGTTATATCTTGTGATACAACCTGAACATAGACACCATACTCTGATTTGCATTTGACAAATCCCAATTCGACTAAGTATGAGTCGATCTTCTTGTTCCATGCCCTAGGTGCCTACTTAAGGCTATAGAGCGCTTTGTGCAATCTACATACTTTACTCGCTTCCTTCTTAATCACAAACCCAAGAGGTTGTGTGACATAAACTTCTTCATCTAAAGGACCATTGAGAAATGCTGATTTCACATCTAGATGGAATGTCGACCAGCCTTGGTTGCATGCCAATGCTACCACTAGTCAAACAGTTTCTAATCTTGCTACTAGAGAAAATACTTCAGAGTAGTCGAGTCCTGTCTTTGAAGAAAACCTCGAGCTACTAATCTTGCTTTATGTCTTGCTATTGACCTATCTACATTGTGTTTCAACTTAAACACCCACTTTACTTCGATTGCTTTTGTATGTGTTGGCAATTCGACTAACTCCCATGTGTTGTTTCTTTCGGTTGTCTGTAACTCTTCGACCATAGCTAACTTCCACTTGTTAATCTTCAAAGCTTCTCTATAGTTGATTGGTTCAGCACCTGCAAGTAAAGCAAAATGAACTAATTCTCCATCTGGTGTGATTCCATAATCACCCACCACTTCATAATCATGAAGTCTTGTTGGAAGAACTCTATTTCTTTAAAGTCTCTGGCTTGTTTCAGCCACAACCTCTTCGACTTCGACTGTTTCAGGAGTGTCAGCAACTGCTTTTTCTTCGACTTCGACTAGATTCTCAATAATTCCTTCGACTGGATTCTCAATAATTCCTTCGACTGGATTCTCAACAATTCCTTCGACTTCTACTTCAAAGTTCATTAATGGCTTGTTACTAGAATTCTAATCCCAGGAATTTTCATTAATCATAATATCTCGACTCAACACAATCTTCTTATTAACTGGATTGAATAGTCTATATGCACCAATTTTATGATATCTTACCAGAATCATAGGTTCACTCTTGTCATCAAGCTTCCTTCTCCTTGCATCAGGAACGTGTTTGTAACACATAGAGCCAAACACCTTAAAATGACTTACTGATGGTTGTTTTCCACTATACACTTCTTCAAGAACCTTGTTCTTAAATATCTTAGTAGGACACCTATTTAAAATATAAACTGCAGTTGAAACAGCTTCTCCCCATAAAGACTTTGGCAAATTCTTTTTCTTCAGCATGCATCTTGCCATATCTAATATGGTTTTGTTTCTTCTTTCAACAATTCCATTATGTTGAGGTGTATAAGGAACAGTTACCTCATGATCAACACCATGTTCTGCACAGAAATCTTCAAACATCTTGGATGTGTATTCGCCACCTCCATCTGTTCGCAGAACTTTGATCTTCTTCTCGGTCTGGTTTTCGACAAGTATCTTGAATCTCTTAAAGATTTCAAATACTTTGTCCTTTCGTTTTATCACATAGATCCACAACTTTCGACTAAACTTATCAACAAACGAAACAAAATATCTGTTTCCACCAATTGTATGTTCTTCGAATGGACCACATACATCTGAATGCACCACTTCGAGAATGCAGGATGATCTCATTGACATAGTCGAAACGAAATAATTTCTAGATTGCTTTTCCACTAAACAACCTTCACAAAGTTTTTCAGGCATCTCAAGGCTTGGAATACCAGTAACCATATCTTGAGTAATTAGTTGATTAAGTGATAAAAAATTCAAATGTCCAAACCTCAAATGCCACAACCAACTATCCTTGTGGTCGACGATAGTTTTCAAACATTGAACTTTAGTCGAACTGATCATAGTCTTAAATGTCATGTTCTTCGACAGTGGAGATTTTAAGACCAAATTGTTCTTGATGTCGAACAATTTCAAAACTCCATCTTTCATGACAATTGAGAAACCTTTTTCGACTAGTTGTCCAATACTTAACAAGTTGCATTTCATTCTAGGTACATAGAACTCATCTTTGATCATAACTTTCCTTCCATTACTCATTTGAAAGACTATGTTGCCAGTACCTTCTACTTGCAACGAACTATTATCAGCAAGTTTTACCTTGCTCTTCTTCGACTCGTCAAAATCTGCCAACCACTCATTTCAACCAGTCATGTGGTTCGAGCAGCCTGAGTCGAGAAACCAGATATTGGATTCGACATGGTTATCTGCAACTGCAGCCATAATCACCATACCACCTTCAGAATCATATGAATCTTAGAGTGCAATGTTCGCTCCTTCGTTCTTGCCTTTCAATCCCTTGTCTTTTCTATACCAACAATTCTTGGTCAAGTGTCTCCACTTTTCACAGTTATAACACTACATACCTTTCTTATCTTCTTTGTCTTTCGATAGTTTCCTCCTCCCCTTTTCGATGATTTAGAAGATCTATCTTCGACCTTATTCTTATGGGGATTCGACCAAGACTTCTTGCCATGAGTCTTATCGAACTTGCCTTTGAATTTGTTGGAACCACCATCCTTTTTTCATGATTGAGCTTACAGTGCCTATATCGAGTCCTGAATTCTTTTCCTTTCGATAATCTTCATCTCATGCGCCTCCAACGAACTAACCAAATCTTTCACTTTAGTGGTTTCAAGATTGTTGAATTCTTGAATAGCTACGATAACGTGATCAAAGTAAGAGGTCAACGTTCTCATTACCTTCTCAACTATCATCTTCTCAGTAATGGTTTCACCATAACCCTTCATGAGATGGACGAGTTTCTGAACCTTCGACATATATTATGCAACTTTTTCATCTTCTCCCATCGATAACAACTCATATTATCGATGCAAGGTTTGTAATTTGACAACCTTGACTTTCTCACCTCCTTCAAAATACTTTACCAGAATATCCCATGCCTCCTTCGCCGTTTCAGCATGAGAGATTTTATCGAAATTAACAGCATTGACAACCGTTTGAATGTAATAAGCAGCTTTGCAATCTTTCTTCTTGACTTCGTTGTGGACTTTTTTCTGTTCGTCGGTTGCATTTGCAGCCAACGCAGGAACGTCGTTGGTAACCACTTTTAGAATTTCATGGAAGCCAAACAAGGATTGCATCTGTTTTTTCCATCAGATCTAATTTTTATCGTCAAGCATTGGAAGATAATTTGGAATGCCCTTATCACTAGCCATCTTCGCAGCGGTTGATTCACTTGTCCTAGAAAAACGATCTCTGACGTGAAATTCTTGAAAACTTGTTCAAGAACAATAACCGGAAGCTCTGATACCAATTTGTTAGTATGTGAGACACTTTTAATAAGGAGAGAAATATAGAATAAATAATAAAGGAAATAAAGATTTATATTATTCAATTGTACAAATAATAATACACATTATGACTGTTTATATACAACCCTAATTGAGCTTAGACTAACACAACTTGAATTACATTTAAATATTAAATCTAATTAAATCTAATTTAATATTTCAACAATGTATAAATTTGAATTCTTAGAGCATCCACATTCATAATACCCATTTGGGTTCTTTAAATGAGACCCACATAATTTTTTATATTATTTCACACTTCTCAATTTTTTAAACAATCCATCTACAATTCTCAAATATCCATGTAACTCATCAAAAAAATCTAAAATGGGTCTCACATTTAAAACAAATCAACTACATTCTTGCAATTTTATTTATTAATTTATTATCATGACCCACTTAATTGGAGTGTAGAAGCGTGCTTTAGTATGAGGACGTGCTTTAGTTCAGGAACGTGAAAACAAGTGAAATATCTATTTATTATTGACACAATTTCTTTAATAAATATTTAGGAACTCTCAAAGAACACCGGTAATCATACTCTTAATATGTTTTCAATGCAGTTATGATACAATTTAAATGTCATTTTGATAACATTAATATGTAATTAAAGATATCTCAAAATTTTAAATAAAGTTAAAAGAATTTCGGTCCAGTTATGTTTAGCGGTAAACAACAAACAAAAATGCACAACAAACTGTACTATTTCTTTGGATACCATGGCAAAACTCTAATTTAGGCGCGGTTTGAATATGATATATAAACTGTATAAAAACGCATTGGTATGAATATTAAAACGTCAACATCTTATTATCTTATAAAATATTTAGCATCACATGCATGCTAATATTTTAAACATATATACTATTATTGAGTATAATTTGAAAACGAAGAACGTGACTAAATAATATTGAAGTTTACAATTGCAGTAAGGCAAGTTAGTTATATAATGAGTGAACGGATTAGCGAGGGAGATAGTCATAGTCTTCTCTAAAACAATACTATTAACTATTTTACAAATTAAATTTTTTTAAAAATCCTATAGTATCTCTTTTAATAACAAGATTGATTGATTAGTACTACTAGTTAGTTAAAGTTTGAAAACGGCATCGTTTCACAATTATTGCAGTCCTTCCTCTCACTACCAAAAGTAAAGAAAAGCCCAAACCTCTCTCCAACTAACATATGCATAGGGAAACGAGATTCTTTCATTTGCATATCTCTCTCTCTCTCTCTCTCTCTCTCTCTCTCTTCACAGTGGCTTCTCCATCAATACACCAAAAAATTGAAAGCAAAACAAAACAAAGCCGTGTTTGTTTTCGCGTTCACTTCATCATAAACACGTTTACAACAGAACAATCCTCCCAGGGGTATTCAAGTCATTTTCTTCCCCATGTTCCTATCCACTAACTTCAACGCCAACAACGACACTCCGCTTCTCTCCCACGGTGGCGCCGCCAACGTCTCATTCATCACTGCGCCGTTTCTCTTCACGGCCTTCGCCGGCGGAATCTCCCTCGTCGCCGTCGTATTCTTCTATGGTGCTACTAGGTAAAATATCGAAGTCCTCTCAAATGAACGATTCATCTCAATCGCAATCGCAAAAACCCTAGCTCAATCCCTCGCTCTCTCACTCAGGCATAGATGATTCTGTTTTCGATTTCGATTCCGATTTCGTTACACTAGTAAAGGTACAAAAACAAAGTGCATATACAAAGGAATTTATAGATGAATCCTCTTAAACGAAGTAACAATTCATCTGCATCGTCTTCGAATAATTCCTCTCCTTCATCATCATCGTCGTCTTCATCATGGATCCATTTGCGTTCGGTTCTATTTGTTGTTACTTCTTCTTCACCAGCTTCTTGTTCATCCTCTGATCGGTGAGTTCTTCTTCTCCCACTTCATTTTGCTTTCTCATTTTGTTTTTCTGTTCTAAGATTTTTATTACTCTGTTCTGTTTATTTCGTGCCAGATCTCTAATTTTGGATATCACCGATCTCGCTATTAGTGTCAGCTAGGTTGATCGGCATGAATGTTTTGCCATTTTTGTGCTTCGTGCTTTCTAATTTTGGTCTATTTCTTCGTTTTAGTTTCAGTCTGAGTGCGTAGAATGGTTGATTTTTGAAATTGAAATGGTTTTAAAAATGGATAAAACAAAGCAATTTTTGATTTTGTATGAAAGGAACAGGAAGGCTGAAAAGGACGAGATAGGTAGAGGGAGACAGATCTCTATTTTGGTTTATGTAAGGCGTTTTCTGTCTTTTTCTGTCTAGGAGGTTTCTTCAATCTCAAGTTCCTTTCCTCTTGTTTTGGAATTTTTATCCTCTCATTCCTATATCTTGAGTCATGTCAAATCAACTTGTCCATAAATCACCATTGTTATTGAAAACGTAACTTGATTATGATCTTTATTGAATACCAAAACCCTTTTTCTAGCTTAGTATTTTGTGTAGATCTTCGTAAGCAAGATGGATCATCGATGCTTAAAGCATATTTAAGTGAGTATGCTCATTTTGAGACTGAAGAAATATTTTTTCTGGACTTAATCCAATCTCTGGCATCTAACTTGATTTAAGGAAATACACTTATCATACGTGCGGTATGTCAATTAACACGCCGTATCAAGCATTACAATTTTTTAGGCTGTAATAATCTAGATGTTTTCTGGATGCTTATCCGAGCTATGTTGATGTGTCTCAAGTCTTCAACAATTTCTGTATACTTCACATCTTATTCCCTTATACTTTTAAGTTACATCACATAAGTTTTTACTTGGAATAGTATGGTTCATCCCTCCTCGATAATTTAATTCTGTTTCCATAAGCTTTTTCAAATACTACGTCAAATGCTTATCTATGCCGATTGATAAGCCAATCTAATTGCACCCGTAGTTTGTTTCCATATGTACATATATATTGGCATATTATGATATTGTCTATGTTACCGGAGGACTATTAGAACTGAATGCATTTAATCCTTTTAACATTATGGAAATAAGATAGTTCGACATGAAAACATTTTTCTCTGGAATCCATAAATGTAATGAAATGATTAATGTGTGAAATCTGTCACAGAATGGTAATGCACATGGATTTCTAACTGTTAAATACTAAATATGTGTATATTTGACCGTTTTTTCCATTGGGAGTGAAAAAAGTCATGATTTGCTTGGGAAGTATATCAATTCCACTGGAGCATTATGATTTGCTTTTAAAATGTAATATTATATTGTGTACTTTTTAACATATTTACCAGAGGACTAAATGTCATAAATGATTGTTTTCGGCCTATTCTATGTTCTAAAACATATTTACATTTGAGCAGTGTTAATGAGTAATTGTTTGTAACAATTTCAGAGGCCGTCTTAAATCACCATGGTCACGCCGGAAAAGAAAACGCGTTCTTTCTCCTCAACAATGGAAAAACTTGTTTACCCATGACGGGAAAATTCGCGATGGTGGACTTAAGTTCTTGAAAAGAGTTCGTAGTGGAGTGAGTTTTCTAATTTATCTGTTTAAACTTCAATTTGGTTTTCTTGGTGGTTCATTTTGATATTTATTATGTTATGAATGTCTGATGCAGGGTGTTGATCCAAGTATAAGAGCTGAAGTTTGGCCTTTCCTACTTGGAGTGTAAGTATTCTTTCATGGTTCACTTCTAAATGATGTTTATTTATTTGGTGCATACATGAAATCTGAGAAGCATGGATTTTTAGACAAACACATTGTCTAAAGACGGCATACACGTGAAGCAAAATTTAAAGCTTCCCATCAATATTTGAATTTTAAATACTCATTTGGTTTTGTTTCTTTTTTGTAATTCAAAGTGTCTGTTATTCATGATTGGAATGGAATGAACTGGATTATTTTTAATATCTCAATTTTTTTTTATGTTATCCATCAGGATGAATATTGATTACCTACCTTGTCATTTATTAAATTTTATGTGTTATTTTAATTTATTCTCCATTTTCCCCTTCTATTTTCATTTATCTAGACAAACTATTATATGGTTACTTATTACTCTTTCATTTAAACAGGTATGACTTGGACACTACCAAAGAAAAAAGAGATGCTATACGAACTCAAAATAGGTAAGCATACAAGTTTATATGCAATCCATGCTTGATTCATCTTTTGCCAGTCTTTAAAACTTCATTTGTTTGCTCTTCTTTTCCTTTTGTTCAGTTTAACATACTGTTATTTTTATTCTAAATCTTTAAACACAGAAAGAAGTATGAGAAACTCCGTAGACAATGCCGGCAGTTGTTAAATTCCAACAGTGGGAGCTTTAAGTTCGTTGAAATAGGTGAAATCAGCTATGAGGGAGATGGTGTGAGTCTTGTTCAAGATTCTGGTTCTCCTAGTTCCGAAGATGCAGCAAGTGCCAGAGAATCCCTTTCCAGTGGGGAGCAGAGCCCAGATTTTGAATATTCAGATGATCCATCCATTTCCCTGTTGGAAGGAGATGATGCTCCCAACAGCAGCTATGCTGATGCCTCTGCCCTCGATTCAGATTCCACTGACTCAGATTCCTCAGAAAGTCCTGGAGTAATTCAGACATTTCCTTCTGATGATGCTCTGGAAGAGAACAACGCCGAGACAACTTCCAAGGAGAATTCTTCTCCCTCACAAATCAATGACACTTCAAAACTACGAAGTAGTGAAGACTTTGCCACATGGCAACGGATCATCCGACTTGATGCAGTACGAGCCAATGCCGAATGGATGCCATTCTCTCCCTCTCAAGCTGTTGTACATGAAAGCAGAGCACATCGATCTGCTGAGGCTGTTGGTTTGAAGGATTATGGTCACCTAGATGCTGGCAGAATCTTTCATGCTGCTCGATTGGTTGCTATTCTTGAAGCATATGCACTATACGACCCCGAAATTGGCTACTGCCAGGGTATGAGTGATCTGTTATCTCCTATAATTAGTGTTATATCAGAAGATCACGAGGCATTCTGGTGTTTTGTTGGATTTATGAAGAAAGCTAGGCAAAATTTCAGGCTTGATGAGGTGGGTATCAGAAGGCAACTTGATATAGTTGCAAAAATCATAAAGTTTAAGGATTCCCACCTGTTTAGGCACTTGCAGAAGCTCCAGGCCGAAGATTGCTTTTTTGTGTATAGGATGGTGGTGGTATTGTTTAGAAGAGAGTTGACATTTGAACAAACTCTTTGCCTTTGGGAAGTAATGTGGGCAGATCAAGCAGCAATCAGATCTGGTATTGGAAAATCGGCCTGGAACAGAATTAGGCAGCGTGCTCCCCCAACAGACGACTTATTGCTTTTTGCAATAGCAGCCTCAGTGTTACAGAGAAGGAAATTAATTCTCGAGAAGTATAGCAGCATGGACGAGATCATTAAGGAATGCAATGGCATGGCAGGACACCTCGATGTTTGGAAACTCCTGGATGATGCTCATAACTTGGTGGTCACCCTTCATGATAAAATGAAAATAGAGGCATCATTCCAATGACTGCAGCGGATACATAAACTACTTTATTATATTGTCTTCAAAAGATCTTTAGTTTCAGGCGGCTGGATATCTCCTCCTGCGCCGGACAATAAGCACTGCAAATGCTGGGTTTATCAAAATGAATCTTGCTGCTTGCTGAAACTTTCCACTGCTTATTTACAGTCTTTAGTTTCAATAGTGCTGGCTAATGTGGGAAATGAAGCTGGTTAGATTTACATGTTATGTTTATTTCTTTTTTCCATCTCATTTGGTCTCCACCATTTTCTTCCTCTTTATTTAAATTCTGATTTGAGACACGCTTCGGAGCACCTTTACCTAAAGCAGGTAGGTAGGTGCGTGTAACCTTTAGTAGAAGAGACTGAGATTTTCTCGACATCTACGAGTGTTGTCCTTTTTGACTGAATCTGAACTCTCGAATCCTTTGACTTTTTAGATGCTGACTGAGTAGGTACATAGAGTTTAGTTGATATAAGGATTATTTAATTGATCTAGGTTGCAAACTAACGACCGCATACTTTTGATGCGTTTAACATCAACGAAAGATAAGTTTGTGAAATTAAATAAAGCTTGTGTTTATTGCAAATAAATATGGACGATGCCAAGTAGAACCAATTATTGGGTGGCCCATATGGATGTACATCCGCCCCTGAATTTAAGTATAGAGAATTTCTAATGGCACCCTAGATACGGAAAAAAAATCTTATGAATAATTAAAAAAGCTCCTCGAAAGTGTATTTCTGGGACACATTTATTTTGAAAAATAATGTTTGAAATAGGAAATGTAACTACGATTTGGTATTGGATATGTATATTCGGTTCTTGTACAAATAGTTAAGACAATTATTATGCAGATTTTGGTGCATTTATAAAATACATGGTAAAATATAATTTGATTAAATACGAAGTAATCACAAAATACTCTAAAATACGATATGCAAAATATTTCTCAATCCAAAATATGAAAAATATAATAGTACTATATACAAAATGTCTCTAAAATTATTAGATTACTGAGTATGGTGGATAATGAGTCGGTCCGTGATATTTGCAATATTCCTCCGCTGTCGTTTGTAACACATAGTCTCTCCAGTCTTCGCCCTGATGACATCTAGAACACCTCTAACATCAGAGCTATCAGGAAATAAACATCCATTAATATTCGCATGCGCAATCTGCATAATACGACGACACCTAGGCAACACATCATGAGCATGATCGACCCTAGCTTGCTCCTTCTCTAGAAGCTTCACATGTGTTGGTCTAGGTGGGTTACCTGGAGCCTCATGTATCAGATATGAATGTCATCCATATCCCTCTGTTTCACTATGGGAGGGGTACAATTAGAGGGTGGTCTGGGAATGTGTTGCATGTACCCGAATTGTTGCATAACGCGCTCAGGCAAATAAGTAATCGTCTTGCGCGACCCGCATGCCAATCACCCAGTGAATAACACAATATCGTCAAAAGGAACTGTCTCACGGTGAGTCTCGTATGCACGAAAACATATATCCCATAGGTCAAGCGATCTATATACACTCTGAATGGCTCTGTCGCCTGATTTCCTCGGAGTGGGTCAAATGAAGCGGCACGTGGCTGAACCTCAGTATATGTAGGCTCAAGCGACCATTCAGATATGTGAGGGAAGTGTTCTAGGATTCAAATAATTCTAACTAAATTATTTAAATTAAAAACAATTCTCATTATTATTTTAATCCGACACTACCCCCCACGCATATCAACATCAAACCACTTATTGCATCATATAATTCACAAACAACCACTTAAATAATAAATATAATATTTGGGGCGTTACAACTTCACTGAGGACTTAGTATTTTAAAACTAGGAAACTTTCTTTCTTCGTCCTAAAGGGCCAACTTACCCTGAACTGGTGAAGTAGTTTTGGATTCAGATAAAGCAACCTCACTACAAGTCTCAACGATTGTTTTAGGAATGGAGATTTGCATGACTGAAATTCTTATTTTTCAGGTGTTCGATCTTGACGGAGCAGGTAAAAGATGTTGCAGTCTTGTTGGTAGTGGAAGAATGAGAAAGCTGGAACAAATTTCCTCAAAGATTTTCTAGACCAAGAAGAACTCCAAGCAGATCAGAGATCTTCATCCACATCTCATAACATGGGCTCAGATTATTCTGGGATGTATTCATCATAAACCTCCCACAAATTACCTCACCACTGATTAGATGTACATGTTATTCTACACTGCTTCTGGTGAAAAGATAAATCTTCTTATAGTACTTTTTAGGTATATAAAGAAAGAGATTAGAGAATCAACAAATGGAAAGCAGAAATTAATATATGGATACCTCTGGGACTTCTTATCTCAGAAGTTTTGGTTGAAAGCAATTTGATAGAAGGCCTTCAACAACATAATTTGGAGCATAATTTAGATTCTTATCTAGTCACAACTTTTGGAAGATGTTTTGATGGGACAAGCTTAAAGCATATGTCCTTAATTTCTATTATCATTGAACCTTCAAAATTTCGATAACCATAAGCCTTTTGTTTTACTTAGAATGGTGTAGAAGATGCTCTTTGTTCAATGAGAGACATCCTACAAATTATTTGGTACATTATCTAAAAACTTACATAAAAGATAAAGCAACTCCAAGTGTGTCCTTTGAGGCGATAGAAAATCTCTTTGAAGACTTTCCAGGAGAAATCTCCGCAGTAGTCCGTCGTTATATCTTTACAAATATTGTTGAATCAGGCTTTGTTGATGATCGATCACCTAGATGATTCTTTTGAACCTATTGTTATGGGAAAGAGAAAGTTCTTTAGAAGTATTTCTTCCAGGCCGTCAGTCTCTTCACATCCTCCTGTAAAGATTGATATGATTTCTACCTCTTTAAGGACTCTAAATCTTGTGAAAGTTAAAGTTCTTGAACTCTGATCCTCCTATTGTAAGTAAATCATGTTCTAGCATTTCTTATCAAAATGATATTGTTACTTCATCCATTCCCACACCTACATCCTCTGCATCCTCACCTTTTTTTTTATCCCAAACCTATTTCCTCCCATGTTTCTAATATCTCCTAAATTCTTCAAACCAAAGCAAAAATAGAATCCTTGATAAAATCAGACATCCAGTGTTTCAGATGCAGTTCATGATATCTCCTTTGATTTTGAAGATTTTTCTAAGATATCCTCTGCACAACACCAAACTAACGCTTTACCAGAAAACAACCCAAATATCATTAGTACTTTTGTCTTTGATACAAACATGGAATATTTCTTTAACCATTACCCAGTGACTCTGATCCGTCATAAGACAATCCTTCTTTTTTTGATTTTACGAATACGTCTTTTTTATTTTTGAGGGGGAGAAAGTGAGATGATTTTGATATATCTATTCTCAAGAATCATCCCATACATGTTCTGATATTTTTCCACTAACCATGTTTGATTGATCAGGAACTTGGAAAAAGTTCACTAAATTTATTTTAGCCAGGCAAAACTCAGAAACTCTGAAGATGATATCATGTTTGATATCTAGAAGTATTGGTAATCAATTCATGTTAATCTGGATCTAATACCTTTACTTAAAGGAAATCCAACTAGAATCTGATACAATGTTCAACCAAGGTTTTGATACTCCATCAAACTAGGATCTGATGTGTTAAACCAGGATCCAATGTACATGACCAGGCTCTAGACGAACTAGGTTCTGAGAGTTCATTGTGTTATGATAGCAAGCCAAGATATGAGTTACTCAATCAACCGCTTCTAGTCGGATCAATGAAGAACCAAACTTTTCACTCTAACTCTATTGATGTGCTTAACCGGACATTACAACCAGACTCTGATGAATGTTTCTAATCAGGGAAGTATTCCTTTCATACTGATTAGAATATTTTTATATTTCAAAGTTATTTTATAAGTCTGAAACTCAGAGGGAGACTCTGATCAAGCTGAGATACGTTTTGAGAATATATAACTTAAAAGGAGTTTTATAGATAACTCTGAAGTGTTTTTATGTGATTAAACCTGTAAAAATTGTTCATCAAAATACATGGTTTGTCATCATTAAAAAGGGGAAGATTGTAAGAATAATATTTAGTTATGCATCTGACCTTTAGTTTTAATGATAACAATATAGTGTTTCTTAAAGAACAAATTTGTATCCTAGTGGTTTTGTCTAGTGTGTAACTTTTTCTAACATGTGATGACAATGATAGAATGATGCGTGATATCATCAACTTATGGAATCAACACACTATACTCTGGAGAGATACAAGTACATGTTATAAAGATCAAGTCAAGTTCTAGACTGCTTCTAAACAACAGTTATGATGAATGTTAGTTTAAAACTTCTAGTTATGACTCTAATGTATAAAGCTTCTGAAGACTTCTTAAGCTCAGATGTTTCTGCACTTCTAAGTTCTAAAGATTCTGAAAACAATGTTCTGGAAGAATAAGTTCTGAAGACTCTGAAGACTGTGAAGACAAGGTCCTGGATGAACAAGTTCTGAAGACAAAGGTTCTGAAGATTCTCTTTCAAGTTTTGGTCATTCTAAGTATGCTTCATAAACAACCTATTAGAAGCCTATGAAGATTAAAAGATAAGATCATAATTGGTTTACGTGAGTGAATAGTACATGGTACAATATCAAATGTTTCCACTACCCTGATATTGTGGCGCAATGACTGTATTATGGTACAATATTATCTACCACCCCCTCATTGACCGATATGGACAAATACATCTGGAATTTGGAATCCATCTTCTACCTTCAAACCGGTCTTTCTTTGGATATATAAGGAAGACTTGAAAAAATGAAATGACTAATTATCTTCACTGAAACTCTCTTGCAAGAACTCATACGTAAATATTTCATTTTGTGAAGAAAAGCTGTAACACAAGGAACTTTTGTTCATTAACTTGCTAAGAACACTTTTGTGTTTCTCTTTGTATTTCACTTTGTGTAATCTGCTTTCAAAGAAGCATTTTTGTAAACATAACCTTTGTATTTCAACTAGTGTGTTGATTGTTCCTTGAGAGACTAGAGTTTAGTCAGAATTTCTCAAGAAGACATTGATGGATAGTCTCTGTGGTTTGTAATCAGTTTAGTTATAATAGATTAAGTCCTTGTTGATAAAGCAAAATTACATTGCTAGGTGGACTGAAGTAACTTCGTTAATCGTAAACAAGGATAAATATAATTGTATTCATTTATTTTTGTTCTTATCTCATTGTTTTTTGTATTAGGTAGAAAAACCTTTTTTTAATCTTGAAACTAATTCAAACTAGGGTGGCAAAACGGGCCATGGCCCGCCAGTTCGGCCCGTACACCCGTCAAAAAATGGCGGGTTGGGTTGGGATTTTTGACCCGCCGTCCACCAAAGTCCGCCCTGCTAAAGACCTTCGCCCGCCAAAGTCCGCCTCGCCAAAATCTACCGTCCACCAAAGTCCGCGCGCCTATTCGTTAAGCTTGTCTCACCTTAAATCTGTCTTTTTTAGTTAATTCTAGTAGCTTCAATTCTTGATGGTTTTATTTTATATATTTATTTGTGAATATATGCAATATTTTTTTAAGTAAATTTTGTTAAAAAGATGTTTTATAAAAAATTGTTTTTAAAAATAAGTGAAAAATTTAATTGAAATGTAAAAAAAACCTTTTAATATATTAAAAAAATATTTAAAAAATAATAAAAAAGTAAGCGGGCAAGTCCAACATCCGCCAATCTGCCACCTTGACAGAGCTTGCCCACCCCACTATTTTCTTAGTAGGCTTACGACAGAGTGATATGGAGTGGAACGAGTGACCCATTTTACCGCTCCTACTTTAAACTTTCTCTCTTGTATTTTATGTACCTTCATTACCCAAATATTATTAACTATAAGCATACCACATATACATTTCTATCGATGAATGTCCATTCCAATCAATCAAATGCTCCATATTATTTCATATCTCTCTCTTTTTTCCGTTTGTAAAATTAATTTAAATAATCTTTTGATTCAGATAAGTTGACGTATTTGTGATTTTAGTTTTTGCGAATTTTAATTTTAAGAACTTAATTTTTTTTAAGTCTTGATTAATTATGTTTTTGATTAAATAAAAATAATAACCAAAAAGAAAATCAAAATCACAAGATTATTTAAGTCTTGATTAATTATTTTTGATTAAATAAAAATAAGTTCCAAGAAGAAAATCAAAATCACAAGATTATTTAAGTCTTGATTAATTATGTTTTTGATTAAATAAAAATAATCACAAGATTATTTAAGTCTTGATTAATTATGTTTTTGATTAAATTTTTTTCTTCATAAATGAAAAATCCATCCCCATTGCAATCCACCACAAGCGTGTCTTTTGCCACTGCAAAGCAGGTCACCGCGATTCTGGAACAACTCGCCACCACCGCCAGCACTCCTTCGTCAAACTTCATCCTTTTAATATTGAGTGAGTGGAAAAGGTGAGAGTGTGAGATTCAGTATTAGAAGGAAAATGAAACACATGTGGAACAATATGGAACATTTGATTGATTGGATGATGGATATTAACACCAACGTTCCGTTTGAAAACCATTTCCAGGAACAAAATTAGTACAATAATTCAAACGGAACGGTTGGTGTTTTCCGGTAGTACGTTCGCATTTTACAGCATTGACACCAAACGCGATATTTCGGAATGTAGATTGATATGCATTGTCCTTTTCATGGTTTAGATGATTGATTGATTATATGGTTGATTTCTTGCTTGGAGAAAGGAGTATTTTGTTTATTTGGTTTAGGATTAGGGTTTCTGGTGTCATTGTGTTCTAGCCCTGATTGAATTTGAATATAGATATCTATTGTTATGTTTGTGATATATACTGTAACCTATTGTTAAATTCATTCTGCAACTTTTATCTTTTGCATGTACTTGTTTTGTAGTTTGATTTATAGTTTTTGTAGCATACAAGCCTTGTTAAGTTGAATTTAGGGTTTGTGAACTGCTTGATTTTATAGATTTGCATGGCTGATTGTGAAGCTCTTCAATTGGATCGGCTTGGGGTTAATAGTTTGTAACTATTAGTGCCTCTCAATCAGTAGCCATGGTTATTAATTTTTTTAGCTCAACCGTCGAATGGATCAAACTGATTGAATGGATTTTGGAGCAAAGGTGAAATCAACCCTACATGTTTCCCTTTTTCTGGGTTGGGGTTTTTCTCACTCTCAGCTGTGTTTTCTTTGTGACAACTTGTTTGTTTCTAACATCCGTCACTAATGAACTCACATCAAAAACCCATTTTCGATCTATTTTTTGTGTCTATTTTTACTTATGCAGGACTGGCACTGTAGATTGAAGGTGTGTCTGGTGTCCAACACGTGTCAGTTTGGTGTTTGCCACACACCAACACTGACACAAAATTGACACATGTGGATATAGTTACATTTACTCGCTTCCATTTTCTCTTTATTGATGGGGCTGACATGTACTTGGTGTTCGTGTTTGTGTCTGTGCTTAGTTACTTTTCAGTATTTCCAGCTTTCCCACCCACCGTTGCATTTGAGTGTTATCTAATCTTGGTTTTATTTGCAGGACATCTGAGTTCTGATATTGGCAGCAATGGATACTATACCAGAAAATTTGTTATTGCCCTCCTCGCCTAACCAACGGCACTTACCAATTGATGAGGAGCTTTGGTTGATGGCTGAAGAGAGGGCCCAGGAAATACTATGTACAATTCAACCTAATGTTGTTTCTGAGCTGAATAGAAAGCATATTATTGATTTTGTTCAGAGGCTGATTGGAGGTTACTATGGGGGAGAGGTTTGAATATTTTGATTCAGTTTTTCATACTTTAAATTTAGTTGGGTTATGTCTTTATTTTCTTTTCTTTTAATCAGTTTGCTTTCTTTTCCATGGATTTAGTTGGGTGGTTTTTGATGTTTTCTGCTTTGTTTGCAATTTAAAATTGATTGGTTGATACAAGCTTGATTTTACTACTCTTTTCTTTTATACATGTACATATTTAAATTTAACTTAAAATATTCTTGAAGACCAATCTTATCGTTTGCAAACCCAGAAGATCCATATAACCCTTATTTATGCAGGCTGGCTTCAACTTTCCACTCGATGTGTTTTGTCTGTGCTAAGAGTGTCATATTGGATGAGTTGTGACTTGGAAAGTGTTTATAAGTGGGGAGAAACTCTTCACCTTACCAGTCATCTTTGTAAGGATGAGTTAAGTTCAATATAAAACCTAAAACAGTATCTGAGATTATCCAAGATCCGGTGTCGTTTAGTAGCGGCTAATATTTTCTTAGTTCTACATATGATTATTAATTCTGTCTCATGGTAATCAAGATAGAAATGCTTGAATTGAATAATGTTGAGGTGAGTTCTCAATTATTTGTTTACGCTGGTGAACATTTATTGATTTGAAGAATTTGACCCTATTTTGAAAAAGCACTTGCCTCCATTTCAAAAAGCTTTAAGGTGCCAAAAAAAAATTGGTTTCATTATGTGCATACTGTTACAGCGGTGTCCATAAATAAACGTTTTATCTTTTGTGTGCCAACAACAGGTTTTCGTGTTTGGATCAGTCCCACTAAAAACCTACCTTCCAGATGGAGATATTGACTTGACAGTTCTCAGTCAAGAAAGTGTAGAGGAGGATTTAGCACAAGCAGTATGCAATCTACTTGGAAGTGGAGAAGACCTTGAATACAAAGTGAAAGACATACAACATATCCGTGCGCAGGTTTAGAAACAAAATTTCTATTTAAGCTGTTATAGTTATTGAATTTCGATTTCTTAGCATCTTCATTTATCTATACTCTGAAATTGCCTTTTAAGATTTTTCATTTCGTTTTTTTGACGTGTAAGTTCTGTATCTTCACCTAGCAGTATTCAATTACAGTGTAATTTAAATGAAAGATTGGACCGGTTAATTATTAAACTATCTGGAGCCACCTAGGTTCATTTATTATTGGAAATTTGTGATTTGCAACTACTACTTCAACCATATTAGGTTTTTATTTCTTTTGGGCATGTATAGCAGATGCAGTTGAGCTTTGAGGCCTTAATTATTTCCCCCATTTATGTTTCTGCTATCTAGCCCAGTAGTCATTCATGTTGGTGGAATAGGCTAAATAGGATTTTAAGCATCTTTTTGATTGTTTGATTTACTGCGAAACAATGATTGAAATGTTTCAATTGACATCATGTACTGATGGATGCCGCATGCGGTGTTGTTAAATAGTGGCTATATATTATATTATTTCTGAAATGTTATATTTACATCCTAATTCTATGTGAAAAAGGGCATATCCACTGATGTTATTGCCTCTTTACTTTTTATATTTAAAATTATTCCCTTTCTAGATTTTTCAGATAGGAAGTGTTTGATGTTTTAGTAAAATTAGTATCTCTCAATTTTGCACGACTTCCTTTTTTATGCTTGGATGTTGGATGCAGGTAAAGGTTGTAAAATGCACGGTGAAAAGTATAGCGGTTGACATCTCTTTTAACCAGATGGCTGGACTCTATGCTCTGCGCTTTCTGGAAGAGGTAAATCTTATTTTTGCTAAGTAATATTTACAACTAGTTTATGTTCTGAGTTCAATATACCATGAGCTTAAAATTTATAAGCTTTAAGTTCACTCGTGTTACTGTTAGCTTGTATAATCTGAAACCTGATTACTGTAGAACTAATATGTGGTTAGTTAGTTTGTCTAAAAGCAGTAAAGAAATGAAATCATATGCCATGTTAGGATTGTCATTTACATCAAATTTAACTATAGATTTTCCTCCATTTAGCCTATGTTATTAAACTCGGCACGAAACTCGGCTAGAACGATCGCGATAATAGGATTGGATTCGGAACGACGTCTTTCTAATGTGGCCGCTCCGGCCGCGTCAGCCGTATATGATATTTGCCTTAAATTTTAAGGATAACATAGTTATTTTATAGAATTTTATTGGCATTTGGAAGTATGCTTTGCTTAAAACTTATGGTTTTTATTTCTAAATATGAATACTTCATGAATTTTGATTAATTTATTTTAGTTTTTAGCAATTACTTGTTCATTAGTATTAACTATATTAGTGTCCAAGTCACACAAATATTAGTCGTTCCGCTCCCCGCTCGTGTTCCGTTCCCTTTTTGGAGATGGCCGCACTGGTATCCGAGATTGATAACATAGCATTTAGCTTTCTTGTCATTTTTTACTCATTTTCTTTAAATGTTTTTATATATTTGATTTTGCTTCCCCTTTTCTTCCTACAGTTTCTACTACTTGACTTACCTCTATTTCTGGGGTCCATAAAGATCATATAGAGAATACCATCTATTAAATTTGTGTGACTAATCAGTCTGATTGATTTGTAGTGGTCTCAACTCAATATTTGGGTTCATTGTTTATTTAGCCTCTTTATACTCTCCTTTCCCGTGCATTTTGCTCATATTCAGGCTTTGGTTATTCTTTTTTTTTTTTGTTTTAAAAAAAACAACTCAGGTTGACCAACTTGTCGGGAAAAACCATGTCTTCAAACGCAGTATAATCTTAGTCAAAGCTTGGTGCTATTATGAGAGCCGACTTCTTGGGGCACACCATGGCTTGCTCTCAACATATGCACTTGAAATATTAGTTTTATATATTATCAATTGTTTTCATTCATCATTGTGTGGTCCTCTAGAGGTGAGTGATGTTTTCCACTAATATTCTTTCGACCCTTTTAGCATTTGTATTCACATCTGCATAAAGGATAAAACCACCGAGCTGCTGCTACTAGCAGGCGCTGTACAGATTTTTGGACTACTACAGCACATTTGATTGGGAGAAAAATTATATCACCATAGATGGTCCACAATCATTATCCTCCCTTCCAGAAATCATTGGTAAGTGTTATGGGGGCTGCTTAAGCTATTGGATGTATTAATTATTTAGTGGGATTGTTTATTGGCAATCTTCGGTCCTTGATTCCAACTTGTTGCAGAGAAACCAGAATCTGATCGAGGTGGGTTGCTGCTCAGTAAAGAGCTTCTGAAAAATTACAGGGATATGTGCTCTGTTCCAAAGGCATGTGAGACGTCACACCGTGAATTTCCCATCAAGTGCATGAACATTTTGGATCCTCTAAAAAGCGACAACAACCTAGGCCGCAGTGTCAACAAAAGTAATTTTTCCCATTAAACCATCAATTGATTCGGTGAGAATATTTTTATTTGTATTTTAATTGCTTGTAAGCTAACTTCTTACTTTACTATGAAAACACTGGTAAGCTCCCGGCAATGTTTCATGCTACTGACAAATGCATCAGGGCTTTCTCCGGTATCATTCTATATATTATATGCTTGGATTCTTTGATTCTTCGATTTTAACACACGTGTCGACCTTTTACCTTTCTTCCTGCAGGCACTTTACATCGAATTGGTTACGCTTTTGCCTTCGGTGCTGAAAAGCTTAAGGAGATTCTTGACCTTCCAGGAAAAAGCATTGGTGGAGCACTTGAGGTGTTTTTCATGAACACTTTGAATAGAAATGGGAAAGGACAAAGGCCAGATATCGATGTTCCTGTTCCCGCATTTGGTACTGGAAGATCTGAAGAGCCTGTCCTTGTTGGAGATTGTGACAGTTTCTATGGTGGCTTACAACATATTCAGATGTATCAGAACTATGCTATGCCGCTTGTTGCGCCTTCGAGTTCCCCACCGATACCATTTGATGCTGATATGCTTAAGCTACAGCAAAACTGGCTTAGGTATTATCATAGAGGTACTGATTTATACGTTCCTAGGCAGACATTCTTTCATCCAAATGCTCCTCCACCACCAACTTATGGCCTTGATGAAATAGGGAAATCGCGAGGAACAGGCACATACATCCCTGACATGGTAAATTGCTTTCATTTTCAAACTTTATTTATTTATGATAAGATAACTCATTTTATCAGTCTCTAAATGTTTGCATGTTTCTGACTCAGACTCTTACTACCTACTGGAATGCCCGTGCAAGAGGGTCCAGACCAAGGAGATTCGGTACCGGGAATAATAACAATAATAGTAATAATAATGCATTGCCCAAACCATTGGAGAGAAAGCAAATAGAAGAGGTTCTTTCTGAGACTGACATGAATGATAATAGTTCCAAGTCCTATGAGCTCTTTAATGAAGATTTTCCTCTTCTTTCAAGCATTGGCAACAGCAGTTCGGAAGCATCCCAACAATCTGAGCTGGACCATAGTTCCTCATCGCCTCAAATGTCTATCGAGTTTGGAACTTACGGTATCCCGCACTCAGCTACAGAACCGAGTTTGGGAAAAAAGAGTCAGAAAGAGGATTCCAGCGCTACTACACCAGTTGTTCCAAGTCTGGCAGTGGAGACAAAAGGAAAATGTGCTCGGGTCGAAGAGAAGACGGGTTGACAGTATCAAACCTGTAGTCATTTTGTAGGATATCGAGGATAACATCTAATGTGACGCTTTTTACTGCAGGTTCTTCTCTGAGAAATACCAAGTTGAAGGTAATACTAATAGTCAATCTATTCTCTCATTTTCAGATGTAAATTTTGGGAGAAACTAGAATTGGTTGCTAGTGATATAGACTTCATGGAAATAAGTCTTTGGTAAGGATGTTTACAAATTTGGTTCTGCCTTTTGGTTTTATACCCCTTGCTCTCCTCTTTCCATTGGAAGAGCTTACCATTTTAGTTGAACTAGTAGCATATCTTTTCTGCTTCTAAAGTTCAGTGATGTTGTACATGATTTGTGTTTTACAGTACAATAACTTATAATGAATGTGGTACAATTATGTGGACATTTCACCTCCAAACCTACCTCTGAATTTTTCTCTTTGAAAACCAAATGTCTGTCTTCTATGAGAGAGACTTGTTTTTGTTTGCAATGGCGGTGTTATGACTTCTTTTATCTATACACTTTTTTTTGTTGAAATCTATCGATATGAAACACGTTGGACCAGGCTCGATTAATGGTTTGTTGTAATGGTTGTAACATCACAGATCAATGTCAAGACGGAATGTAGTCAAAGGTGGTCGGTCTTCCAAATGAAAGGTAGTCAACTTAATGAAAAATATTGGGTTTGGTCAGGCCCCATAAATCAGACAGTTATAATTGGTTTTTCTTTTATGAAATATGAAAAGGAAATATGAAAAGAAGGATAATGTCACTTGGACTCTAAATTGAAGGACTCAAAACATGTCACGAGTGATCGTCACTAATCGTGATACTTCGTTAATGAATTTTGGTTGCAAAAATATTTCCTACATATGCTTTATTGTGTAGGTATCACTTCATAAAAAATGTGTGGTATAAAATTAATTCAATTGTATAAAACCAAAAACTCAAGGATGAAGATGGAAAATTGACAAATTTTAACAAATATTGGAACCCATAGCAGCATGAAATATTTCAACGAAGTATTCTATATTCTATAGAGGATTCTTATATTGATTACGAAAATAATTTGTGATTAGACTGATCCGGTTAGACACCTTAGACAACATCGCCATAAATAGTGTGACTTTTGCAAGACTTGGGAAGCAATTAATACAGTGAGATACACACACCCTTTGGTCAAAGTATCACCATATTATAAATACTTTGTATTCTCATTTGAGTTGTAATATTTCTCGTGTGTGATTGAATTATATTCATCATTTGTGCTAGCATAGAAAATTGGTCGAGATAGCTCCAATTGTGATGGTACAGTTAAAAAATGTGGTTCTATGTGTGTATGTTATGATGTTACTATATTTGATTATGATGATGACAAAAGCCAAATTAATCACAAGTATCATCAATGTAGAAAAATATTAAAGTTATCAAAAGCGAAGTTAAATAATATTATGATGTTTAAGCAAATATAGTCAAATATAAATATCAATATCAATATCAAAAGAAATTAAAGTTGAAAAGAAATTAAAGTTGAGAAAACTTGTTTGATCATGTGTTTGTAATATTATATTTATCTGTTTTGAATCAATAGTATGTAAATTAAACAAGAGTAATCCTCAAGGTACTGAGATGATGCACATACGCACTAAATGATTTTACAAAACTTTGTCTATTGCAAAACCTTTCTAAAAATTGTTTATGGCCACTAACAAATCGATTATGAAAGCATCCTAACCAATTACAAAAGCGAAATCTTTCTCTAACCGATTAAAACTTGTATCTAATCAATTAAGAAAAGAACTCACCGCCTAATGTTAGGAATTCTTTTAATCGATTAGGATCTAAATTTGGATAATATGTTTTCATATTTTTTAGGTCTAATCAATTAGCACATAAGCTTGCTGTGGATTATTTATTTTCTTTAGTAAAAAAATTTCTCCTATATAAATGAGTCTTTGTGCATTATTCTAATAACTGAAATCTGATTTACTACTCCTCTCTCTCACTCATTGTCTTCATATAAACTGTTTTTATATAATTATCATTATCTTAGTGCTGAGATAACGAAAAAGTTGTGTAATGTTTGGTTATGATCAGATTGCGATGTAATTGTAAATATAAAGCTTAGTTTTCTTGTAACATTGTAAGTGATATAAAATTTTCAAGTTAAATCTGGGTAAAGTCTTGGTTTAAGAATATTGTGGAAAGATCCTGGTGTAAAAGCTCAAGCTGTTAGTGAAATCCCAAGAGAAAACTCTTGGGGTATGAATTAGGCCACATGGTTTAAGGTTGAACCTGTATAAATCTTGGTGTGATCTCTCTAACTCTTTTCATTTATATTTGTGAAATTTATTCTCCACGCTTAACTTTCTACTTCATCTTATTTCTTAAAATCGACTAACTCAAAAATTAATCATTTGTAAAAAAGATTTAAAAAATTATATAATATAACTCATCTCTCTCTTGTGTTCGAAGTCACTTGATCAACAAGTAGTATCAGAGTCTAAATCCAGTTATGAGAGTAATTGTCTCAAGAGGTAGAATGACTTTAAATGATTCACTAAACAAACCCATATCATTTAATAAAAAGGGGTGATGCTTATTGGAAAGAGAAGATGCATATCTTTATAGAAGGGATGAATTGTGATATTTTGGTCGTTGTATAAAATGGTCCTTTTGTTTCAACACATCTAGTTTATAGTATTGTGAAAAATAAACCTAAGAAAATTTGAACCAACGAGAATAAGAAAAAGTACAATGCAATTTGAAAGTTAAAATTATTATCATTGTCCTTCTCGGTATCGATGAGTTCTTTTTCGCGTTTCTTACTTTAATTCTGCAAAAGAAATGAAGAACACCCTTCAAATTACGCATGAAGATACAACTAAGATAAAAGGGACTGTCATGAGAACATTGACCCATGAGCACGAGCTCTTGAGAATGAAATCTGAAGAAAACATTCAAGATACGGAAAAAGAATTCATTCATATTGTAAATAATACGATAATTCTAGGTAAAGTATTTTAAAATGAAGATTTAGTTATAAAAGTATTTAGATACCTAAACTGCAATTGACAACCTAAAGTCACTATAATATATGAATCTAAAAACTTATCTTTTATGAATTTGGCTCCCTTGTTTTGAAAATTGCAGGAACAAGAGATATAATTAAAAATACTTAATGAGAATGAAGAAATTAACAAGAAGAAGAAAATTCTTGCACTCAATGTTGAAAAGGCCAAAGATTCAGATATTGGCGAAGATATGAATCTATTAATCCGAAAATTTACGAAATTCGTGGGACATGACAAACAACCACAAAACTTTCAACATAAAAATGAAGAAAAATCTTTGTTCGTACCAACTTGCTTATAATGCAGAAAGAAAGATCACATAAATCTAAATTTTCCTCAAAACTATAAGAGGCTGAAAAATTCAAAAGACCTAATAAAGAAACAAAGAAGGCACCATAGATTAGACGAATAAAAAAAATAGGAAGAAACCAACATTTATCTTATGACAAAATACAAAGACAAAGAGGTAAATGATCTAACTTCCTATTATACTTACCATGAACTCTTCCTCTTTTGTAAGAAGTGAGATAATGATTCAAGCAAATTAAAAAAATATTCTTTATGTCTCTAAATCAACTATATACTCTCTTGAAAAAGAAAATAAAAACCTCCATGAGGATATATATTGTCTTAGAAAAAACAAAGTCTTTTAATTCAGAACTCTCCTTCTCGTTGTTCTTCATCTTCCAATGAAAACTCTTCCATATCTATCAAGTGTGTGAAAAATAAAATATTTTAGAAAATAAAATCACATTTGAGATTTTGACGTTTTCTATCTTCTGGTGTCACGATATAAGTGTGATTGCTGTATGAGCAGGTTGTTAACCCCGATTTATAAAGGATACTGTAGCGATAAAAATCGGAGATCAAGATATTGATTAACTTGACTCTCAAATAGAAAGATTTGCCACTGCGCTTTATCATTTCCAAGAGAAAAAAAGGAAAAGTGCGAAATAAAACCCATAAATATGCAAAGTAAGTGCAATACTAAAAGTAAAGAAAAATATCATGCATTTGAAAGAGATTGAAGGTTCGGAGGTTGGTTATACAAAGGGAAGGTGTTAGCACCCTATGTATCTATAATATCCTATAAGAATCTTTTGAAATATCCGTGTTTTTGGTTAAAAAGTTAATTTGTAAAAAGGATCAGAAAGATGAGAAGTTTTGAAAATGCAACGACCTAATGTCGAAGTTTTGACTTAAAAGGGTGTAAATTTGAAAATAGGATTTTAAAAGTTTTAACTAATGGAAAATAAATATGAGAGATAAAATATAAAGACCCACGATAATATAAAGTCAACGAGATGATCCTTTTCCTTGGATTCAAACACAAAGATAATAATTAGATGAAGACCGGATAAGAATCATGCATTAGATAAAAATGGATAGTAACTATACTCCAAGGATTAAAGAACTAATTTTAGGTTTTTTTTCTTTATTAAGTGGCTTATAATAAGTAAAAGAAAATAAGAAGCTCAAGTGAGCAAAGAGAAAATGCATAAAGTAAAGAAAATAAAAGACTATGGATGATAAATGGCATAAAAGTAAAGAGAGGAAAATATAAAGTGCGAAAATATAAATGATATTAAAGTAAAGTTAGTTCAATATAAAGTTAATAATTTGATTTGAGATAAGTGTAACTTTACATGGAGCATAGAATGTATGTACTCATACATGTTAAATAAATGACACTTTGAAGTTCATTCTCTTATACATGTAGTACAATTAACAAACACGGGGATCAAGACAAAGTCAAGGAAGATACATTATGACAGACTTATCATCAATCATAAGTACCTTGAATAATCAAAGGATCATTTAGAGGTAGATTGAAAATGATGAAAGTTCATCAAATATCCGACAAGCTTAGATGAACTAAAAAAGCTCAAATGCTTTCCAAATTGATCCAAATAAAAATAAAAATAAAATAGATAAAGA